GAGGTCAACAACAGTTATATGCCGTTATAAACTGGTATATGCTGTCCACCGTTTGTCCGTTCTTTCGAGATTTCTGGTTCAGAAGGCATCCGGTAGAAAAATCGTTTTGAAGTTCCATTCTTGAACTTTTATGCCACATTCCTTTGAATTTACGGTGCTGTTTTTCACTTTTTCTTTATGACTGTATGCGATGGTAAATGATCCTGGTGTGTGCAAGAAGCTGAGAATCCATCCATTAGGATGAATAAAGCGGTTTTNGCGGTTTTTGACTTGATCATATATATAGGAGCCTACTCCACAATACCAATAGCAATAACGGGATGAGGATTGGGACAGAGCGAAGTGCTATGTAGGTTAAACAGTTGTACTGGATAACAGTGTGTTCACCGTTCACTTATTGTTAGTTTGGCGAATTATTATCCTAAAGCACTTTTTATCCTCAGGGGACGTAGCGACAAGAGTTGATCAACAGTATCATGTAGGGTTTAAAACAACTGCATTACTACGATCGAGAAAGAAAAATGATAGGAAACTAATTTGTGCACTCTAGGATAGTGGTAATGGAACGAATAAGATTGGTCTGTGTGTCTCGTGTGTGGCTCTTTTTTCCTCTATTAACAAGCTAGTTCCCATGGTATAAGTAAACAGAGGATCTTGTATGGCGCGAAACAAATCGTTCTATTTTCTGCGTCTTACATAGAGCGGAAATACAAATAGTGGGTTTTAATCTACCATAGTCCTTTTCTGAGAATCAGTGATGTGCTCAGGGAACTCTAACCATCGGGGGACATTTTCCTCTCTTCAGTGCACTAATTAAATAGCATGCTAATTTATTTTTGTTAGCCAGAGACCCTTGATCTCTGTGATTAATTGTTTTTTTTTCACTCCGTAATGAATTCTCAGGTTCGAACGAGGACGTCGATCAACACTCGGTAACTCAAATACATGTGTATCGCTGAGAGATCAAGTGATGAACGTGTTTAAAATCGATAGTCGCTATATCTCTCTGTTTCTCTGGCGTTTAGATGTTTCAGCTTTTTCATTGGGGTTCAAGATTCGTTGGTAGCTTTCACCCAGGATGTCTGCGATTCGCTGTTATATTGCACACCTGTGTGTGCGTGTGTATGTGTGTGTGTGTTTGAAGAGCAGTAGACAAGTTAAACTTCATAGTCATAAGTACCAGTTGTTTGTTCCTGTCGACCTGCTGCTTAAGCTCCTCGAATGGCCTCCAATAGGATAGGCTCGGTATTGACTCGGGCGAAATCCAAGGTACCTTCCGGCGAAGTATGATTTCAGTGTTGTTTGGTTCACAGTGCGGACTCAAACCCCATAAATAACAGTAAACCACTTGATCTTGAATGATCACCAATGAAAACCTCATTTGGATGTTTGTTTCTGATTGCTGTTCTGTACTCAATGTTCAACTTGTCATTCTGGTTTCTTTCAGCCGCACTGACTCCGCTTGCCACGTACTGCTACTACTACTGCAGGATTTACACTTGCACTGTGCTCCGATCGATCTGGACTTCCCAACATAGGTACACAATGCCTATTCATGGTAGTCACTGGTGTGATATGCTACCATGGTTCACACAGAATAAACTTATAGTTGTCAGTATCTCACAAATAACCCTGTTACTATCGTTATTATAATAGCTTCACCATGTTGTATTATACATCATCCCTGGAACTTTCATTCCCCTCTCCCGTCCCGCCGCAAAACTCATTGTATAATACTCTCCCCCCACACCAGCCGGTCCTTTTTTGCCTGTTCACCCAATCAGAACTCCTCTTTCCTCCCTTTTTCTGCGGTCTGGCTATTCGGTTCTTTGTTCTGCTTAAAGTTGATTGGCTGATGTGTGTTCGTTTACTTCACTATTTCTGAATATGGCAATCTTTTTTCTTGTCTGTTGTTGGCTCGTCCCAATCTAGCCGGTCGGTATTTTTTTCGTTGTTGGTTATTTGGTTTGTTGACTGTGTATATCCTGGTTCACACGTCCGTTCCCTGCTGTGTGTATGGCCGACACTGTCACCACAACTCTTTTATTATCACGCTTTTGTTCCCCACGCACACACTTCTCTCGTTTTTGACTCACACACACAAACACAGCCCTCCACGTTGATCACAACGCGTTTCGCATTGTGCTTGGTGTTCTGCTTTTTATTCTGTCCGATCGGGTAATATGTACGGATTGTACAGTACCGTGTTTTCCGTTTCGGTGATGCATATATATATATATATATATATATATATACATCGTTTACCAATTGCAGTTCCATCGATAGTTTTCATCTGATCACTTCTTCTGAATTTCGGTAGCCTAACCATACAACGCATCCGATTGTCTAAGCTTTCGATATTATCTGATGCAGTTGCACACGTAAGCGTGTACCGCTGTATTTGTTAAATGGTCCGTAGCAGGGGTGTGACATCTTTTTCTTCATGCATATCGGCGCGCATCAAACACTTGGTCCAGGTTATTCAGCAATCCGGCGTTTGTTTTACTACCGGTTCATGATAACGAAGCTAACCAGCATAACTGTCACCGTATACCCGCTACTCAGGTTAATGGGACTTTTCTAGTTAACGGGCACCGTCACTTACAACAGCTTCTACGGTTTCTACACTTCGTTAACCGTTCAGTGAATTCAGATAAGAATGCATGACAAATCTTCTGTTCTGTCATTGTGAAGGTCGTACTCAAGTTTTGTTTAACTCATACTAGTAATTTAACCGTTGAAATTGAGTTGTTCAATTTTTCATATCAGAGAGGCATGTAGTACAGAATAATTTCTGGTAAGGAGTGGCCGGCACGATGTATTTATTGTAGCTCATTTAGACCACGATAATAAGAAAAGTGAAATGACGTTCGAAAACTCCACTATTTGTTCCTAATAGGCAAATTTTTTTCAGCTCAGTAAAGTTGTCGCGGTCGTTCCTCAACCGACAGTTTCGCAATGGCCATTCTCTTTTCTTGCCTTTTGCTTTTCTCCGATTTTCTTCGTATATCCACTCAAGCTGGACGTGGTGATCATCAAGTCACGGACCAGGGGCAGCTTCATCCTACGTTGGTGTGACTAGCAGCAGGACAAGTTCAGTTTCCAATCAGTCCTGCGTAATTGAGGACTATCAGGACATGGTTGCTTAACCATAACATACTGATCAGAACCATCAAGGTTCAGATGTCAAGTAGCACCCTAACCCCTGGATCAAGTAGAATTATTACAAAAGCTAGGCTACCGTCATGCTTTTCCTTCCTACTTAAGGACCCTTCTCTACCGGGCACAATCAAATGTACCGTCGAGATTTGATATGTATCCACATTAGTGATCTTCCAGTGAAGGTTTCTTTACTAGACATAACAACTTGGACATTTACGGTATTAGGTTTTGCTTCAACCATTATCGTGCTTTTAACGAGCTTAAAAAGACTGTAGCGGCACAATTTTCCAAGTTGAGCTCTGTATCGCACGCTTCCTTTGCGCTGATCAGATCTCCGCTGCCGTTGCTAAAGTACCAGCCTAAGCTAGACGAACACTTCCAACATTTCGGGAAGTTTCAGAATACGACATCTCCACAATCCCAATCATTGGTTCTATTTCCTCCCGGGATGGATATTTGGAACTAATGTGAGCATACATTAGTGACTGGTTCTGACGAACATCATCAACCACCTAGTCACTAAAAGATCACTTGTTGGGACGGGTACGCTCGCTTTGATGGGTGACCTGCCGACGACCAGTGTGGAGTAGTTTCTCTTTTGTGAACAGGTCAGGTCACATGCCTGGCGGCTGATGCCAACGGAAGTACGTTTCCTTGCGCAATTAAGCTCCAATGATTTCGAAAGCTGAATTTCTTGTTCTACTTAAGGTTCTCAGCGGGGTCCTATTTAGCGTGTACGGAAGAAACTAGTGCGAGTAAATAACAAAA